ATTTACAGTCTCTGTGAGGATACACAGAATAATGTATGTTTTCTGTTCTTTTCACAGTTACACCCATAGTGCCTTGCACAGTGTCTGGTACAGAGTAGGCACTCGACAAAGAGTTTCTGAATACATAAATCAATCAATAAGAACTAGGAAAATTAAAGAACATATAAGGCATAGCGACTGCCTCCAAAGACTTGTAATTCAATCAAGTTGACATGGCCTTAAAGTTACAAGATAAGTAGCAATAGAGAAGCAAGTCAGTCTACGTAAGGGCCCAGTGACCATCGTGGCAAAAATTACTGGAGAGGCTGACAGGTTCTCTCCTAGGTGGGGGTATTGGAGTGGGATGATAAATCCCCCTGATGCCACAAAGGGTAACAGAGAACTTTTATTATGTTTCAGGACTATACTTTGTCATCGGGGAAGATTTTTGGTATTTTTCTTTGTCAATGAGTTCATCCCATGGCATAATAACCAGAATGGAGATTGCAATAACCAGAATGAAACTTTTAGTTTGGTATTGTCAAGGAAAATAACTTTTTTGTCATTGTCAATATGGTTATTCATTTTATTTTTTCTCTAGTAAATATTAGTTAACAATGCTACAGAATGGCACGTCTTTGTAAAGCATGCTTTGGAAACATCTACCTTGTTCCCTCCTTCCATCTCCCTCCTTCCTTTCCTTACCTTGTTTTCTCCTTTTCTTCATCTTTTCTTCTTACAGCATTCATTGGGCAATTAGTAATCAACAAATACTTACTAGGCACTTGTGTTCTAGGTACGTGAAAGGCAAGGGGAATGCGGAGATACAAGAAGGAATTACATTTGAGCAACATTTCTGCAGTATAATTGACAGAGCATGGTTGCCAATTGTTTTTGGAGAGTGAGAGAGATGAAGGGAGAGGATGACTCATGTGTCAGCTTGAGAAACTGGTTGTGTGATGATGACGTCAGTCAAGACAAGCAGCAAAATAGAAGCAGATTTTGGAGAAGATGTTGAATGCAGGTATAGACACATTGAATTGATGTGGCTGAAGGACACCCAGGTCAAAGTGTTAAATAGGCAGTTGGAAATATGATTTTGACCATGAGGCTAAAGAGATGGATTCGGAAGACATTAGCATTTAGATGATGTTTGAAAACATGATAATACATTCATCTAGAAAAAGTAGGTAGAAATATAGAAAAGGACCAGAAACATAAACCTAAGGAGCTCTCACACGTAAAGAATACATAAGGATAAAGTGACGGAGGAAATTATGAAGGAAGGTTTAGGAAAGTAGGAGAACTAGAAGTAACTGAGGGTGGTACTATTCTTGAGTGCCACATCAATAAAGCACTTTGAAGTTGGACAAGGTCAGAATGAATCTTAATTTCTACTTTCTCCTTTTCCAAGTCCAAACCAGAACTAATTAGCTCCCATCTAAAGACTCAAAGTTTTCCCATTCTATGGGGTTAATTACATTCATGGGCATGGGCTGTGCCACGGAAAACCAGCAGCATGGAGGTAAGGCATCCAGTTGACCTTAACTGCAGTGCCTCCTAAACTGGTTCCATTTCTATGAGCTGGGGTCTCGATTCCTCTCCTTGTTCAAGCTCCTGCAATGAACCCCAGTGTTCCTGGAGCCTGGAGTACCAACTCAAGGCTTCTGAGACAGGAGTCTTGCCCCTTGTACTCCAGGGTTATCTATTCCCCAGTGTTACAGTCCTGGGATGACTTACCTGTCCTCATGCACTTATCCTATATCTGACAATGACTGGAATTATTTTTGGCTTGTTTAAGAATCCTAGGAGCATCTTCATGGTGTTTGGATAGCTCCTGAAAGCAAATTAACAATTTATAAACAGACCCTTGTATACTATTGTATTCTTTTAGCTATCATTTCCTAAAATTGCTATTTATTAATTCAACAATCCCTTTATTCAGTGCATGCATTTCCCAACTCTTGAAAGCCTACTATGTGCAAGGCATTGTTGTAAGTGCTGAGGATACAACAGTGAACAAAACAAGGCATAGACCTTTCCTCATGGGCTTGTGATCTTGTAAGAGAGGACAGATAAACAGTTCAAGTACATAGTGGGTCAGATGGAAAAACAAACACCTTATAAAGAATAAGAAGGCTGGGAAAGAGTGGGGGGTTGTTATTTTACAATGGTGGTCAGGGAAGACATCACTGAAAAATTACTTTTAGCAGAGACCTAAGTGAGAGAGAAACTAAAAAAAAAAAAAAAAAAATGATAAAAACATGTTTAAGTGAGCCCGGTTGCTACTTAGAAGACAAGTATTCCAGGTGTGGGAATTGCGAGGGCAAAGGCCCTAAGGCTGAATTGGCCTGGGCTGTTAGAGAAATAAGCATTCCACTGTAGGGAAGTTTTCAGAGGGGTTGGTGGCAGGAGCGATTCTGAAGAACCTTTTGGTTATTAAAATGTTTTGACTTCTATTCTGAGAAAATGTAAGTATTTAGTCAGAGGAGCTGACATGACCTGTTTTCCATTTCAAAAGTATCATCCTGGCTGCTATGTTGGGAATAGACTGGAGAGGGGCAAGATCAGAAGCTGGGATACGAGTTGAGTTAGTAGGTGAGAGGAACGATCCAGGAAGTAACAGTAGCCTGGCCCAGGCTGCTTGTGGTGAGAATGGGGTGAAGTGCTTGGATTCTGGATATATAGACACTCCTCGCTTTATTGTGCTCTGCTGTCTTGTGCTTCTCAGATAATGAGTTTTTTACAAATTGAAGGTTTGTGGCAACCCTGCATCAAGCAAGTCTATCAGCACAATTTTCCCAACAGCAGTGCTTTGTGTCTCTGTGTTACATTTTGGTAATTCTTGCATTATTTAAAGCTTTGTCATTATTACTATAACTATTTTGGGGATACGTGATCATAATATTTGATGATACTAGTGTAATTGTTTTGGGGCACCACAGACCACAACCATATAAGACAATAATTTAATCAATAAAGGCTTCAGGCCTCCCTATTCCCTGAGAAACAACAATATTGAAATTAGACCAATTAATAACACTCTAATAACCTCTAAGTATTCAAGTGAAAGGAAGAGGCACATGTCTCTCACTTTAAGTGAAAAGCTAGAAATAATTAGGCTTAGTGAGGAAGGTATGTGGAAAGCTGAAATAGGTTGAAAGCTAGGCCTCTTGCTCCAAGTAGTTAGCCAAGTTGTGATTGCAGAGGAAAAGTTCATGAAGGAAATTAAAAGTGTTATTCCAGAAAACACGAGTGATAAGGAAGTGAAACAGCTTTATTGCTGATATAGAAAAAGTGTGAATGGTCTGGATAGAGATGATTAAACCAGCCACAACATTCTCTTAAGCTGAAGCCTATTCCACAGCAAGGCCCTCTCTTCAATTCTATGAAGGCTGCAGAAGAAAAAAGCTGGAAGCTAGCAGAGGTGGGTTCGTGCTTAAGAAGCCATCTTCATAACATAAAAGTGCAAGGTAAAACAGAAAGTGCTTATGAAGAAGCTGCAGCAAGTTATCCAGAAATCTAGCTAAGGTAATTGATGAAGGCGGCTATACTAAATAATAAGTTTTCACTGTAGAAAAACAGCCTTCTGTTGGAAGAAGATATCATCTAGGACTTTCATAGCTGGAGATGTCAATGCCTAGCTTCAAGTTTCAAAAGATAGGCAGACTCTTTTCTTAAGGGCAAACGTAGCTTGTGACCTTAATTTGAAGCCAATGCTCATTAATCATTCTGAAAATCCTAGGGCCCTTAAGAATTATGCTAAGTCTACTCTGCCTGTGCTTGGTAAATGGAACCACAAAACTTGGAAAGAGCATAGTTTACTGAACATTTTAAGTCCACTGTTGAGATCTACTGCTTAAAAGACTCCTTTCAAAATATTACTGCTCATTGACAATGAACCTGATCACCCAAGAGCTCTGATGTACAAGAACATAATTGTTGTTCTCATATGCCTGCTAACCCAAATCCATTCTGCAGCCCATGGATTCAAGAGTAATTATGAGTTTCAAGTATTATTATTATTATTTTTGACACAAAGTCTGGCTCTGGCTCTAAGACTACAGTGCAGTGGCACTATCTCAGCTCCCTGCATCCTCCACCTCCTGGGTCCAGGCGATTCTCCTGCCTCAGTCTCCTGACCAGCTGAGATTACAGGCATGCGCCACCACACCCAGCTAATTTTTGTATTTTTAGAAGTGAACGGTTTTCACCATGTTGGCAAGGCTGGTCTCGAACTCCTGACCTCAAGTGACCTGCCTGCCTTGGCCTCCCAAAGTGCTGGGATTGTTTTGAAATAAAGCTGCTATTAAGCCATTCTTTTAATAATGCAACAAACTCCTTTTTATAATTCTATTTTCATTTTAAAATTTAAAATCACTAAGTTGTCACCAGGATGACCTCAAGTATTATTTTAGAAAAAAATTTCATAAGGCTATAGCTGCCATAGATAGTGATTTCTCTGATGGATAAGAGCAAAGTAAATTGAAACCCTTCCATAAGGGATTCACCATTCTAACAGTCATTCAGAATATCTGTGACTCATGGGAGGTCAAAATATCAACATTAACTAACTGGAGTTTGGAAGAAGCTGATTCCAACCCTCTTGGATGACTTCGAGGGGTTCGAGACTTCAGTGAAGGAAGTGACTGCATATGTGGTAAAAATAACAAGAGAACTAGAATTACAAGTGGAGCCTGAGGATATGACTGAATTGCTGCAATATTACAATGAAAGTTGAATAGCGAAGGAGTTGCTGCTCATGGATAAGCAAAGAAAGTGGTTTCTTGAGATGGAATCTACTCCTGGTGAAGATGCTATGAACACTGTTGAAATGACAAAAAAAGGTTTAGAATATTACATAAATTTAGATGATAAAGCATTAGCAGGTTTTGAGAGGACTAATTTTGAAAGAAGTTCTGTGGACACAATGCTACCAAACAGCATTGCATGCTACAGATAAATCTTTTCGTGAAAGGGAGATTCAATCTATGTGACAAACTCCATTTTTATCTTAAGAAATTGCCACAACCACCTCCTCCTTCAGCCACCACCATGCTGATCAGTCAGCAGCCATGAATGTTGAGACAAAACCCTCCACTGACAAAAAGATTATGACTTGCTGAAGGCTCAGATGATCATTAGCACTTTTTAGCAGTATTTTTAAATTAATGTGTGCATATTTTTCAGAATAATGCTATTGTGTACTTATTTAAACATAATTACAAGTTATATTTAGACTATACTATAAACATAACTTTTACATGCACTGGGAAACCAAAAAATTGGTTTGCCTTGCTTTACTGGGATATTTGCTTTATTGTGGTAATCTGGAACCCACGGTATCTCTAGGTTATGCCAGTAATTTAAAGGTAGGACCAGCAACATGTTCTGATGGCTTGGATATGATGCAAGAAGGACAGAAGCGAAGAATGACTCCAGGGTTTTTGGCCTGAGCAACTAGAACAATGGAGTGCCAAATGGGAACTAGAACAATGGAGCGCCACAGGGATCAGGACTAGTGAGGCAGAGTTTAATTTTGGATGTGTTTATTTGAGGTGTCTATGAGACACTCAGTCAAACTGGCAAGTTGTTCACATAATGTAAAAGCAGAAAAAGAAGGTAGTAGCTAAAGGAGGGAGAATATACGGTCAAAAAGTTTTGGCTTTATTTTTCAAAGGTGAGAACTAGTAAAGCATGTTTTTGTGCACATGGAAGTGTTTCCTCAAGAGGAAAGAGGTCATGATGAAGGAGAGAGAGAGAAAACTGTTGGAGCCCATGTCTTGAGTAGGTTAGGGGTAGGATCTACTCTGCCAGCGGAGAGGCTGGCCTTAGACAGGAGTGCAGACAGATGGGCCATCCGTTGTATCGGGAGGGAAGGCAAGGTGTGCAGGGACAGATGGAGACTGTGGAAGTTCTCCTGTGGTTGCTTCTCTTTTCTCAGTGAAATAAGCATGTAGCTCAGCAGCTGAGAGTGCCATAATGCTAGCAGATGCATGTAGGAGAGATGTGACAAGAGGTTTTCAGACAGAGCAGAATGTTTGCAATGGTCTTCTAGGACAGTGGTTTTAAATTTCAGCTCATAATCTGATAGAAGGTGTTAAAACCAACTTTGGAATTTGAGATCAAACGTGATTTTAAAATTAAAATTATAAAAAGGAGTTTGTTGCATGTATATTGGGTTGTAGCAAAAATATTTTTAAAAACACTTGCCCAGGACAGTGGGAGTAAATGAATAAGGGACTGTCAAACACAAAGTCAAGGTCCTAGTTAATGATCATGAGTCAAAATATTTTCACGTAAAAAACAAAAAAAAAATCATAAAATGGACTCATAAGACTTGGCATGGAAACTGCTAGAGGACCATAGTCCCTCCCCACCACGTGCTGCTCCTTCTTCCTACCCCACTCCACTCCCCACTCTAGGAAATCTTTTCATTTGAATATTTTCAATAAGGGCAAGATCACCAGCTTACAAGATGTCAGAAAGTAACTTTCTGCTCTAAAAAAACGGGGCCCTCACAAACGTAGTGAGTAGAGGCCCTGGCAGGATTTGGAATTTGGTGTACTTAATAGGAAGTTTGACATTATTATGTAACAACAAACTTGATGGCTTTTCCCCACTTCAGAGAGCTCTAAATCCTCTAAAACAAAACTAGTATCAGAGTACTAATAAATCTTGTTTTTGTTCAAAACTCTAGCCCAGAAAGGCACCAGTTAGCTTTTAAAAGTATGTGCTCTCTCCTCTTTACTAACTGCAATGTTAATGGATGATACAGCTAAGGTTTATGCCTGTATTTTCCCCCTATTTCAAGATTTGTTGTTGGATCTGCAAATGATTCCAATCAAATACATCTGTACTTGGAAAAAAATTCATCCGTTTTTAAGATTTTACATTCCTTGGTTGCAGAAGTAGTTTTTTTTTCCTGCACAATACCTTTTAAAAAATGAGTAAGATGTCAATATGTACTGCAAAAATAACCATTTATATTTTAAATTCTGAGCTCCAGTTATTTTCTAGACATTGTAATTTAGAAAAAAAGTACTTCTCCAGTTCTACATTTTGCCTGATTGTTAAAAATGATTTTGAGATTAATAAGTTGAACCAATTTTCTATTCACCTGACCAAATTCTGAACCATTTATGAGTTTTTAAAAACATACTTTTTCCTTATTGTAAAGGCAACATAAAACTTGGTTCATTGGACAGGATAGCAGAGATAAACATTATACACGAAATACAGTTCCCTGGGGCAATATTGCTCTCTTTCTACCGTGTTTATTTCAATTTATATAAATTTAAGACACTGAACAGAAGTAGAATTCAAATACAGAATGAGGACTTATAAAAATGTACACTCTGCCTACATCAGTAAAAGTATAGTAATTTATAAAATTAAATATTTAATCTTAGTTCACTTGTAAACCAAAATCAAGTAAAGTCTGAATCTACCTTCCATTACTTTGGGGGTTAAGAGTCTATATTCTAGGATTCATTTAATAGTTTCATTTCTCTAAGCATCAAGCAAAACGTTAAAATTACAAAACAGGATCATGAAGTTCATCTCATCATGTAGTATGGATCACTCTGTCATTCTTTATCTAGACCTTCAAATACTGTATGTAAAATGTTTCTATACAAAAGGAAATACACAGGATTAGTTCCTCCTCCAACGCTTCTAAAGAGCTCTACCCTGGAAAGCTCTCTCCCTTCCATTTTGCAAGTCTCAACAAGTCTGCTGCTGAGTCAGAACCTCCTTTTTTTCCCTGATGTAAGAACTATTTCTCCCTTGAAAATTCATAAAGCTTAGGAATAAATTAGAGTCTCCCTGGGGGGAAGGGGCGGGGACGCCAGAATGAATGTGGTTGGGAGGAGTCCCATGTTGCAGCCCTGATGATGGCACATGAAACGCTTTTATGAAACGGAGCTGGCCCGGGGTTACCATGGGAGCTCGCCGTGGAACCCGTTCCACGCATCGGAGTGTGTAAATAACCACGCGGAGCGTGTTTGTTCCAGGGACTTTGTTACTTCTTACCCAAGTGAAAATGCCTGGAATACAGCTGGGGCTCCGAGGCTTCTTGTTTACCCTACAGAAACACTCTCGGCGGCTATAGGATGTCGGTGACAGCACCCCTACCAGCGCCTAAAAACAGAAACAAGCTTAGAGGGAGCTTCCTAGGGCGACGAGGGGGTCCTAGACCCGGCATTCGGGGTCTAGAGGTGCGGGGCGAGGCGCCAGGCGCTCAGCGGACTTCAAGCCTGCAGAGCCCAGATGCGAGTTCACCACAGGACCCCCCGGGTTGCGCTGGGCTCTCTCGCCTTGCGCTGGGGTCCTCGGGCATCTATTTCTACGCGGGCTCGCACGGCGCAGGCGCTGGTCGAGGTCCCGGGCCTCAGTTTCCCCCACGGGGCAGCCCCGCCCTGGGAAGCCCAAGTGGTGCGGCAGGGCTTCTCCTCACCTAGGGCGGAACCGAGGTGACAGGAAGGAGGAGGCACCGCGAGGGGCGGAGACGCGTGCGACCCGGGCAGGTTCTGCGCCGATCCCGCGCCAGGGAGGGGCCGTTGCCCAGGAACCGTCCCTCCCTCCCAGGCGCGTGCTTGCCCTCGTGCGCGCGCCCACCCCGTGCTCCCGACCTCTGTCAGCCAGCCGACCCCCGCCCCAACGGGCCTTTCCATTTCCCCGGGAGCGGAGAGGCCCGAGGAGACGCGCAGCTCGCTCCCGCCCTCCCGGGAGCGCGAGCGCGCCCCCGGCTGCGTCTGCATATTAATGAGGGGCGGGGAGGGGCGACGGGGGCGCGGTGGCCTCGCGCCCGCGCGTGCCGGGACGCACCGCGGGGGGCGGCGCGATTGTGAGGTGGCGCTGACGCACGTTCCGGGGTTCTTAAGCGGCCAGGGCGGCGACGGCTACGGGAGCGGTGGCGGCGCCCGAGCCGGTCTCGGGAGGTGGCGGCGGCGGCGATCGCCGCGAGGGGTGGTGGGGCCGAAGTCGGTGCCCCCGGCTCAGTCACGGTGTCCCTCTCTCACTGACTCCCCCTCCTTCCACCACGGCCGCGCAGCCCCAGCGCCGGCGGCTTCCTAGGTGGGGCAGGGGACGAGGAGCCTCTCCTCCCGCTGCCGGCGGCCAGATAAATGAGGGATTTCGGGTTTGGGGTGCTGCAGACCGCCGCGCTTCGAAGCAGCAGCCCCGGGCCCCTGTTCAGCGGCGAGGCGTACGGTCCCTACGCCGTGGGGTCCGCCAACCCGCTGCCCTCCGCCACGCCCTTCGGCCCGCTGTCGCCACCACCGTTGCCTGTCACCGGCTTCTTAGAGGCCGCCTCCCCCTTCTCCATCCCCCTCGGCGGCGGCGCGGGCAGCCCGGCCGCCGCCGCCGCCGCCGCTTCCTCTTCCTCCCCGTTCCTGGCGCATCAGCAGACCATGCAGGATGAGCTGCTGCTGGGGCTGACACAGCAGCCGGCGCGGCCGCTTTCGGGGGCGGCGGCCACGGAGAAACTCCCCAACCACCACCCCGGCGGCGGCACGATCGCGGGTGTGACCCACCTCCTCCCCTCCCAGGACTTCAAACCGAGTCTGCACCACCCCTCCTCCTCCTCCGCCTCCTCCTGCTGCTGCTGCCGCACCTCCTCCCCGCAGGACTTCAGTAAGCGGCAGCAGCAGCAGCTGAGCAGCCAGAAGAGGAAAGAGTTCAGCCCTCCCCACCTTCCCCACCCTCCGGACTCGAAGCCGCCGCCGCCGCCTCCGCCGCTCCACTGCCCCGGTCGGTTCAGCCCGCCGCCGCCGGCCGGCCCGCTCCTCCAGCCGGCGCAGCTCGGTCAGCGCCAGCAGCAACAGCCGCCGCAGCAGTTCAGCCTCCCGCACCCGCAGCACCTCTCGCCGCAGGACTTCGCCCCGCGGCAGCGTCCGGCCGACCTGCCCCCGCTCCCGCAGCTCCCTCCCTCGCCGCCCGCAGCCCCGCGGCGCCGCCACGGAGGCGCGGGCAGCCCTCGCAAGACCCCAGCCCCGGGCGAGGGCAGCGCCGCCGAGTCCCCCAATGCAGGCTTGGCCTCCTCGACGCCGCCGGTGAACCCCGCGCCGGGCTCCATGGAGTCCCCCAACCACCCTCTGCTCAACAGTCCCAGTAACCTCCTGCCCGGCGGTGCGCTTGGCGCGGGCGCCTTCAGCAGCCTGCAGAGCCCGGACCTTCCACACCCGGGCGGCGGCGGCGGCGGCGGGGGCGGGGGGCCCCCAGGAGGCGGAGGGGGAGGCGGCTCCGCGTCGCCGCCGCCGCTGCCCGGCTTCGGCACCCCCTGGTCGGTGCAGACCGCGTCCCCGCCACCCCAGCCCCAGCAGCCGCCGCCGACCCAGCCGCAGCAGCAGCAGCCGCCACCCCAGCAGACGCCCCAGCCGCAGCCGCAGCCGCCCGGCTCGTCGGCCACCACCCCGGGCGGCGGCGGCGGCGGCGGCTCGCTCAGCGCCATGCCGCCGCCCAGCCCCGACTCAGAGAACGGCTTCTACCCCGGGCTGCCGTCGTCCATGAACCCGGCCTTCTTCCCGAGCTTCTCGCCCGTGTCGCCGCACGGCTGCACTGGGCTCAGCGTGCCGACGAGCGGCGGCGGCGGCGGCGGCGGCTTCGGCGGCCCCTTCTCGGCTACCGCTGTGCCCCCTCCGCCGCCGCCCGCCATGAATTTACCTCAACAGCAGCCTCCGCCGCCCGCGGCGCCGCAGCAGCCTCAGAGCCGGAGGTCGCCCGTCAGCCCGCAGCTCCAGCAGCAGCACCAGGCGGCGGCCGCCGCCTTCCTGCAGCAGAGGAACTCCTATAACCACCACCAGGTACGGCGGGCGGCGGCATGGCCGCGCCGCGGGACCGGGAGACTGCGGGCGGGGGACGGAGGCGGCGGCGGGGAGGCCGGGGACCCGACCTTAGCCCCGAGAGAAGCCGCGACGGGGCCACTCGCGCAAGTGCGAGTAGGACTGAGAGGGCGGACAACCGTGACAGGACTCGGAACCCCAGCCCCCGGCGGGGTGGGAAGGCAGTAGCCACCGTGGGCTGCGGGGGCGTGGGAGACGAGTTCGCGCTGGGAGCCGTGGCTGGCCGGGCGCCCCTCGAATGTCCCGGGGCAGCGGTGGGGGCTGGGGCAGGGGCTGAATAGCGCCGTGGCCGCGGGCTGCCGGGCGCGGCGTCTCTCCCTGACCCTCCTAGCTGGCGCATCCCGGGCTCCACCCGGTGCCCTGAGCCTGGAGGGCCGCCGCCCCGGGCCCCTGACTCGGGGAGGCGCGGCGAGGACCGGGGGCGGGCCAGGGGCCTTGGAAGAGCGGCCGTGGAAAGTGAACTTGGGCAGGAGGAAAATGATTGTTGGAGAAGGTGCGTGCGGGGGAGCCCTTGACTCTGTCCTACCGTCCAATGAGGGAAGGCGGAAAGGCTTTTTGTCTTTGGAGTTTGTTTATTCTTAATTGGCCGGCGGGGATCTCGCCTTGAAGCCGCAGCCGGCCCGGCGGTCCGTCGAGCCGCTCGCAAAGCTCCGCCCGGTCAACCTGCCGGCAGCGCCGCACCCTGGGCCACCGGCGAGTCGGGAGGGAGCGGCTGACCGCGCTCCTCGCAGGACCTGGTTCCCGCGGTGTCGCCTTCTCGGCTCACAGTACTGGGAAGGAGAAACTTGGTGACGGCTCGGGTTCAACCCAAGATACCCCACGATTGTCTTAATTTCTGTGCTTTTCAATGTTGGGGTCATGTTTTGTGGGTTTTAAGACAAAACTGAACTTGGATCTGGGATTAGTGTTTCCTTGTAGACTCTCGGTACATTTTTTGGTTGCCTTAACCTTCTGCAAGGGAATATTGAGCCGTGTGTATTTTAAGTAGGTAATATTATGAAATAACACTGGGCAGAGGTTTTTATTTTCCGGATCTTTTCTGATTCAAGATCTTTTTTGTTATTCCCTCAATACAATTTTTGGGTGACCGCTGGATTGGTAAATTGACGTCGAAAGAGTGTCTTGTTGGTTTTGAATCTTGTTAGCATTTCTTGCAGTGTTCATTCTAAGTCCATTTTCTATTTTCGTAATTAAGGATTGACAGAGACGCAAAATATGACCTTAACCCCATAACTTTTTCAGTTGACCAAAGTTTTCAAGGATTAGTCTTTTTTAAAGTGAATATTATCTAAATTAACCCAAGTGAAAGTTAACGGTTTATCTGAGTTAACCAAAGTGATAGTGAACAGTTTTTGTTGAATCACTGATTTCTTTTTTAGAAAAGAGAATGTGGCCTATAAGGATTGAAAATAGGGATTTTGAAATAATGTTCCACATTTTCATGATTTTTATAATCCTCAGCAACTGTTTTTTGTATCTCAGGGTCTTCATTTTGTTAACTGGAAACTTGTCCACAGAAAATTATCTGTAGGTAATTTTGTATTCTTAAAGTTGTGATACAGAGCGTTGGAAGAACATACACAATGATCCATATTTAACTGTAATCTGCTTTTGGACAAAAGATGGGTCTAGCCATGGAGTGTGAGAGGTCACACAGCTTTCATATAGAATTTTAAATCACTGGAAGATAACTTTGAGCATTAAATCATTTAATAAGGAAAGTAAGGCCCTCAAGACTGAAGTGGTTTGTCCATGGCTCCTTAATTATCCATGGAACTCTGTGGAGGAGGAAAGAGTAATATATACTCATGATTATGTTAGCATTTAAAAGTTTTTAAAAATTGGTGCTGTAGATCAGGAGTTTCTCTTTTAATTGTCTTATAAAAAGCAGGTTCAATTTTAAGAGAATCATATTTTTAGTAACTGTATGGTTCATACTTCTTTGGCTACATCTTAACACCAAAGTATTAAAGTATAAATGTATTGACAGTAGAATTACCAGCAATGAATACTTCTTTAAAAAAAAAAAAAACCCAAAACTACAATTATTAGCCTTTTGGTGGATTTACCATTCTTTGATGACTTGACTTTTCTTGCCACAGGCTTTAGATTAGGATGTAATTTACTTTTGAAAATGAATCAACTTGATGGAGACTTGTATCAAGATCTCTAGTGGAATAATCAAAGCATATAGTTAATTGGCAGTATACCTCAGTGGATCCACCTATGGGCAACATCAGATAATTGCTTCAAAGTTCATGGATAATTAAGTGAAATAAAAACGAAAACACTTTAACACAAACTATACTAAAACTGGAATAATATGCCTTAACAGTTAAACAAACTGCAGAAAAATGACATAGTTTCTATACTGCCCTTATTCCAAAAGGGGATTTTAATTTGTGCAATAGAGTAATTCCCACTTTTGTAGCAGTGCAACTTGTTTTGGAAACATGAAGTCAATGTATTTCACTTGCATAAGTAGGATATTTTAATTAACAAAGACCATATTTTTAGTTGTGTGCCTAGCATAATATGGTTGCTTTAAGATCACCGTGTATGTCATATCTTTAAGAATCTTCAGTTAATTTCAATTTTTTTCTTCATATTTATCGTGTGTACAGTTATTTCTGAAGGATAAAAAGGAACTGCATGGTTCTATTTTAGTAACTGTCATAAAATATCATTTATAGTACACAAGAAGATGAAAACTTGACCAGCATCAAATATGATTTCACATAGAAAGATCTCAAGACTATTACTTTTATAACCTAGAAAAGATGTATTCTTTTGCCTTTATATATTTCATTCATATAAATTCTTAGGTCTGACATTTGAATTTGAATTGTAAACTCTTTAAATACCGCAATTTAAATAGCTATGTTTTCCCCAGCCTCTTCTGAAACAATCTCCCTGGAGCAACCATCAGAGCAGTGGCTGGGGCACTGGAAGTATGTCCTGGGGAGCAATGCATGGCAGAGATCATCGTAGAACCGGAAACATGGGAATCCCAGGAACTATGAATCAGATATCTCCATTGAAGAAACCGTT